GTTGCGATATCTTAAATGCTCGATTTTTAGCGATTTTTTAAAAATTGAGGTGACTAATTTTGTTATGAAAAATCGGCTCAATTTAAAAATGCTTTATCTCAGAAACTAAATGATATTTTCAAAAATGGTCTTTTTCGTTAAAAAGGTTATTATTTTGGGTAAAAGTGGTGATAATTTCATTTTGATTCATTAAAAATTCGATTTTATACGATTTTTTGAAAATAACCCTAACTAATTTTTTTCCATAAAAATGAGAAATAACATCGTTGTGATTAAAAATTTTTATCTCAAAAACTAAAAGATATTTTCAAAATCGGTTTGATTCATTGAAAAGGTGACACTTGATTCTATAATTTTTGAAAATTGCGTTGCGATATCTTAAATGCTCGATTTTTGGCGATTTTTTAAAAATTGAGGTGACTAATTTTGTTATGAAAAATCGGCTCAATTTAAAAATGCTTTATCTCAGAAACTAAATGATATTTTCAAAAATGGTCTTTTTCGTTAAAAAGGTTATTATTTTGGGTAAAAGTGGTGATAATTTCATTTTGATTCATTAAAAATTCGATTTTATACGATTTTTTGAAAATAACCCTAACTAATTTTTTTCCATAAAAATGAGAAATAACATCGTTGTGATTAAAAATTTTTATCTCAAAAACTAAAAGATATTTTCAAAATCGGTTTGATTCATTGAAAAGGTGACACTTGATTCTATAATTTTTGAAAATTGCGTTGCGATATCTTAAATGCTCGATTTTTGGCGATTTTTTAAAAATTGAGGTGACTAATTTTGTTATGAAAAATCGGCTCAATTTAAAAATGCTTTATCTCAGAAACTAAATGATATTTTCAAAAATGGTCTTTTTCGTTAAAAAGGTTATTATTTTGGGTAAAAGTGGTGATAATTTCATTTTGATTCATTAAAAATTCGATTTTATACGATTTTTTGAAAATAACCCTAACTAATTTTTTTCCATAAAAATGAGAAATAACATCGTTGTGATTAAAAATTTTTATCTCAAAAACTAAAAGATATTTTCAAAATCGGTTTGATTCATTGAAAAGGTGACACTTGATTCTATAATTTTTGAAAATTGCGTTGCGATATCTTAAATGCTCGATTTTTGGCGATTTTTTAAAAATTGAGGTGACTAATTTTGTTATGAAAAATCGGCTCAATTTAAAAATGCTTTATCTCAGAAACTAAATGATATTTTCAAAAATGGTCTTTTTCGTTAAAAAGGTTATTATTTTGGGTAAAAGTGGTGATAATTTCATTTTGATTCATTAAAAATTCGATTTTATACGATTTTTTGAAAATAACCCTAACTAATTTTTTTCCATAAAAATGAGAAATAACATCGTTGTGATTAAAAATTTTTATCTCAAAAACTAAAAGATATTTTCAAAATCGGTTTGATTCATTGAAAAGGTAACACTTGATTCTATAATTTTTGAAAATTGCGTTGCGATATCTTAAATGCTCGATTTTTGGCGATTTTTTAAAAATTGAGGTGACTAATTTTATTATGAAAAATCAGCTCAATTTAAAAATGTTTTATCTCAAAAACTAAATGATATTTTCAAAAACGGTCTTTTTCGTTAAAAAGGTTATTATTTTGGGTAAAAGTGGTGCTAATTTCATTTTGATTCATTAAAAATTCGATTTTATACGATTTTTTGAAATGAGAAGAAGCATATTAGGTTTAAAAATTTATTTAATTGTTATTAAACATAATTGACATCTTTTTAACGATGATGGACTTTCTTGTGGATGTTATGGACGTAGTGGTGATGTTTAGTATGTTGATCCTTAATAACTTTAATTAAAAAAAAATAATTAATAAAATCTTAAAATTTAAGGGAGGTGTTTTAATTTACGTTTTTGATTTTCTCCCTCAATCTGGGTAAGATAACTCTGAACGGTAGAATTAAGATTATCATCTAGAAATGATTTTCATGTTTTTTAAAAATTGTTTATGCTCCCAAAAAAAAAACTTACATAAGCTGTTAATATCTAACGATCTCTTAGAAACAGCAGAACCAATCGCTTTAATTACATTCGCTGAAATTAAAATTTTATAATAATGTTTTATAAATTTATCATATCTTACATATGAGTGTTAATACAGTTGAAATAATCGATACAATGGTATCTATGGCGTTGAAAACAACATCGCCATTAATACCACCTAAACCAACTGAAAAGAAATAAAATTAAATTGATTAAATCAAATTTCTTTATTTATTTCTTACCAAATATTTTTACGAGGCTTGAAATTTGTTTAACAAGTGTCACTAAAAAATAATAACAATTATGAAGAATATTTATAACCATTAATAACTTACAAATGTTTTGGAAAAATTCTATTACCGGTGGTGCCACCTGATTTGCTAGAAAGCTCACTAAAAAATCAAAATATTTTCAAAAAATCGTAAAAAATCCATTTTTAAAGATATCGTTATAAAACTTTCAAAAATTATTCAAGAAAAGAGTCCTCTTTTAAATAAAAAAAGCTGCATTTAAAAATCTCGTTTCATTTTCGAGATACGACTTTTTTAAGCTGACTTAGTTTTTTGAGAAAAACGTCTTATTCAATTTTAGTTTAAAAAATCGTAAAAAATCGGGTTTTAAAGATATCGCGATAAAACTTTCATGAATTATTCAAGAAAAGAGTACTCTTTTAAATAAAAAAAGCCGCTTTTAAAAATCTCGTTTCATTTTTGAGATACGACCTTTTTAAGCTGACTTAGTTTTTTGAGAAAAACGTCTTATTCAGTAAACTTTAAAAAATCGTGAAAAATCGGGTTTTAAAGATATCGCGATAAAACTTTCGAAAATTATTCAAGAAAAGAGTCCTCTTTTAAATAAAAAAAGCCGCTTTTAAAAATCTCGTTTCATTTTTGAGATACGACCTTTTTAAGCTGACTTAGTTTTTTGAGAAAAACGTCTTATTCAAGTTAAGTTTAAAAAATCGTAAAAAATCGGGTTTTAATTATATCGTTATAAAACTTTCGAAAATTATTCAAGAAAAGAGTCCCCTTTTAAATAAAAAAAGCCGCTTTTAAAAATCTCGTTTCGTTTTTGAGATACGACCTTTTTAAGTTGACTTAGTTTTTTGAGAAAAACGTCTTATTCAAGTTAAGTTTAAAAAATCGTGAAAAATCGGGTTTTAATGATATCGTTATAAAACTTTCGAAAATTATTCAAGAAAAGAGTACTCTTTTAAATAAAAAAAGCCGCTTTTAAAAATTTCGTTTCGTTTTTGAGATACAACTTTTTTAAGCTGACTTGGTTTTTTGAGAAAAACGTCTTATTCAAGTTAACTTTAAAAAATCGTAAAAAATCGATTTCTTCATCGATCGTTCTGAAAATTTGTCCATTTATAAAAGAAAGTGTCCCTAATTTAATGGTGAACTCGGTTTTTAAAAATTCCTTTTCTTACCAAAATTTCTAATTGCTGTAATTATGCCTACAAAAAGATTCGCAATTGTATCCACTAAAAACACGAAATTAATTAATATAATTTCAATTTTAAGCGATTTATAAACAATATCTTACGAGATTGTTGGCTTAGAGTGTTATTAGATCCACCAACGGTGGTTGGCGCAGGAGATGTTGAATTTTCTATAAAATATGACGTAAACATTAAAATTAAAATGAGAAATTAACTTACGTGATGCAATTAGCGCAAAGAGGTAACTAAAAATGGTTAATGCAACGAAAATAACTTTCATTTTAAATGTGAGAAAGCAACTTTTAACTATTAACTATTAATCAATGCATCGATTATATATATAGTGAGACGCAGATGATAAAAAAAAATACCGTGGAATGTTTTCAAAGAAATAAGTATTTAAAAAAACTATATTATCATTGTTTTAAATACCAGGAAAATGTTTATAACATATATCAACAAATTTTTTTTTTATTAAACTTAAAAAATCGTGTAAAATCGTTTTTGAAAAGATCATTTCGTATTTGATATAAATAACTTAACGATTTTCGTAATCTACGCGAAAAACCGAAAAATTTGAGTCCAAACACGACCAAGTTATCTCAAATAGTTCCCGAGATATCACCATTTCAATTTTGACGTTTAACTAAAAAAAAAAGACGATCGATTAATTAAAAATCGCGATATCTCGGGAACTAATTAAGATAACTATGTGGTGTTTGAACTCATTTTAAAGGATTTTTTAATCCGCGTCGATTAAAATCATCAAAAATAACTAAAAATTAAGTTTTAAAAAGAAGTTGTATTGAGCGAAACCGAAATCGACTTTCCTATAAAATATGCTTCAAAATGAGTTCAAACACGACCTAATTATTTTTATTAATTCCTGAGATATCCCCATTTATAACCTAAAAACAAATTCGAAACAATCGACGATCGACAATTTTGATTTTAATCGACGCGGGTTAAAAAATGCTTTAAAATGAACCCAAACACCACATAGTTATCTTAATTAGTTCCCGAGATATCGCGATTTTTAATTAATCGATCGTCTTTTTTTTAGTTAAACGTCAAAATTGAAATGGGGATATCTCGGGAACTATTTAAGATAACTTGGTCGTGTTTGGACTCAAATTAATCGGATTTTTACGTAGATTAAGAAAATTATAATAATTTTTATAAATTATTAATTTTTAATTAATTAATTCCGATTTTTCCTTTTTTGTAGAACTTTTTAAATCATTAAAAACCAACTTTTCTCCTTTTAAGGGAACAAAATCCCACTTGCAATTACGATATGGAAGTTTCGACAATTTATTTTCGATTTCACTTAATACAACTTCACCTAAAACTTCATTTTTGGTTATTTTTGATGGTTTTAATCGACGCGGGTTAAAAAATCCTTTAAAATGAGTCCAAACACCACATAGTTATCTTAATTAGTTCCCGAGATATCGCGATTTTTAATTAATCGATCGTCTTTTTTTTAGTTAAACGTCAAAATTGAAATGGGGATATCTCGGGAACTATTTAAGATAACTTGGTCGTGTTTGGACTCAAATTAATCGGATTTTTACGTAGATTAAGAAAATTATAATAATTTTTATAAATTATTAATTTTTAATTAATTAATTCCGATTTTTCCTTTTTTGTAGAACTTTTTAAATCATTAAAAACCAACTTTTCTCCTTTTAAGGGAACAAAATCCCACTTGCAATTACGATATGGAAGTTTCGACAATTTATTTTCGATTTCACTTAATACAACTTCACCTAAAACTTCATTTTTGGTTATTTTTGATGGTTTTAATCGACGCGGGTTAAAAAATCCTTTAAAATGAGTCCAAACACCACATAGTTATCTTAATTAGTTCCCGAGATATCGCGATTTTTAATTAATCGATCGTCTTTTTTTTAGTTAAACGTCAAAATTGAAATGGGGATATCTCGGGAACTATTTAAGATAACTTGGTCGTGTTTGGACTCAAATTAATCGGATTTTTACGTAGATTAAGAAAATTATAATAATTTTTATAAATTATTAATTTTTAATTAATTAATTCCGATTTTTCCTTTTTTGTAGAACTTTTTAAATCATTAAAAACCAACTTTTCTCCTTTTAAGGGAACAAAATCCCACTTGCAATTACGATATGGAAGTTTCGACAATTTATTTTCGATTTCACTTAATACAACTTCACCTAAAACTTCATTTTTGGTTATTTTTGATGGTTTTAATCGACGCGGGTTAAAAAATCCTTTAAAATGAGTCCAAACACCACATAGTTATCTTAATTAGTTCCCGAGATATCGCGATTTTTAATTAATCGATCGTCTTTTTTTTAGTTAAACGTCAAAATTGAAATGGGGATATCTCGGGAACTATTTGAGATAACTTGGTCGTGTTTGGACTCAAATTCTTCGGTTTTTCGCGTAGATTACGAATTATTTACCTGATTTTAAATTTGTTATAACGAAAATTAAAAAAATTAATTTAACACTTTTTTTAAGAAACATTTTCGTCGCGATTAGCCGAATTGAATGGGCCGAATTAAAAATAGTTCGCGTTTTATACCAATTTGATTCCGATAACGAAATTATTTTAATTTGTGACTAAAAAAGGAATAATTTTTTTGCAACTATTTCTTTATCAAGGTAACCTTGCAATCTTGGGATTTTAAAAGATAATTTTACATTTTTTTTTTAACTAAAAGCTTACGTGGAGCAAGCAAACGTGTTTAAGCGTGTTTAAAAGTAAGTTATTCCGAGATTATTTTAAAACAAAACATGAAGATTTTCGCTTTTTTGGTTTTCGCGGCGATTTTTATTAATTTGGCGCTCTCTGAGTGCGAATCTTGCAAAAAATCAAGCAAGAAAGAGAAAAATATTTACTCGAAAGAAGCGAATGAAGGCGATTTTAAGCACGATGACGCCAAAAAGCTCAATCAAGAAGACGAAATAATTAATGAGGAAGAAATTGGGGAGAATTCAGATGAAAAAAAGGATGTTGAGGTTGAGCAAAAGAAAATTGACCCCAAAAAAGGTTTTAATCGATTAATTAATTAACACCTTTATGATTTAATTAATTAAATTTTTAGCAAAAGAAGTTTTGGCGGCAATCAAACAGCTTGGGGGTCAATTAAACGACATGTTTTCGAAATCTTTTAAAACACTCCACGACGCGGTTCCGGAAATACGTAATTAATAAAACAAATTAAATTAATTAATTAAATTAACGTTATTGTAGAGGGGGTAATTCAAAACATGACCGATGAGGCTATAAAGGTGGTCAAAAAGACGTCGATAGAGTCCGGAAAGAACCTCGATATCGTTTCAAAGACGATTAAAAACGTTATGAAAGAAGCAAGTGAGTCTTTTTAATTTTTTAATTAATTAAAAAATATTTTAAAACAATTTTTTAGAAGCCGAAGTTGGGGAATATAAAAAATTTTTGACGGAGAAGCAAAAATTGAGTAATTAAAAAGTTTTTGTAACTAAAAAAAATTAAAAGAATTAATTATTTTAGCCGAAATCCCCGAATCATCTCTAGAAATAAAATCGGATGATTCTAACGAAGTTGTTAAAAAGATTACGGAAGAAATTGAACGAATGATGGGTGGAGGAAACATCATTAGTGATATCATGAACGATATCCCAGACAAAATTGGTGATTAACCCCAAAAAAAACAATAAATAAATCAAATTAATTAATTAATTCATTCATTTTTAGGTGTTATTCTTGGAAAAGCCAATAAAAAGTTAAAAGAGAAATTAATAAAACACGAAAAAGACTTAAACGTCGATTTGACAGACGTTAAAGTTTACTGCGATAACCAAATAAGTGAAATAAGTAAGAAAAATTAATTAATTAATTAATTTTTTTAATTAATTAATGTTTTTGCAGCTACTTCTTTGAGCTCAAGTTTAAAGCAAACCGGGGGGTTGTTATCGATGACGATGAACACGATTTTAACGCTGGGTAAAAAATTAATTAAAATTAATTAAAAAAATTAATAATTAATTAATAAAAATGTTTTTTTTTTTAGTTTCAACGCTTAAATCGCAAATTAAATGATCGTATTTTTAGTAAAAATAACTTTAATTAATGGTAATTATCATGTTATGAAAGATAAATGTTAAAAATTATGTTTAAAAAAAATCAATTTATTTTTTTTTAACTTTATTTTCATTATCGCGATTTTTAATTAATCGATCGTCATTTTTTTAGTTAAACGTCAAAATTGAAATGGGGATATCTCGGGAACTATTTAAGATAACTTGGTCGTGTTTGGACTCTTCAAAAATTATTCAAGAAAAGAGTCCTCTTTTAAAT